AGAAAAATAAAGAATGAAACGGCAGACATCTAAACCGTTAAATTTAACAAATTGAAAATGGTAAGGATTGAATAATCAATAAACATAAAAGTTGACTTCAAAAATAACATAAAAACTTTAAATTTTAGAATAGAGTAAGGACTTTCAAACCTTAAATTAGGTTATTGTTGCAGTTGAAAACTTTGAAGCAAATTAAAATGTCAATTTAGGGCGAAACAGAGAAATATTACCGAATCAAAAAAGCCAAGCAATTTAAGAACGAAAGGACCAGGTAAAGAGCATGTACCTAAGAGCAGAGCCCTGAGCTAGGGAACTTGGGGCATATGAAAGGACCAACGACAACACTAGGAATCACTGCCACCACATCCCATCCATGCTCTGCACCAAACTTAAGAACCGCCCTTTCTGTCATAGTCTTTGAAATCGCGTAACAACGAAACCTTGGACTTTCTTTTTCTCTAATGAAATCCACATCAGACCAGTAACTCTCATCCACCATGTCCGAATCCCGGCCGCTGGTAAACGGTGGATGCACTAGATGTATACACAACTCTCTTCACCGTTTTTTATTTCAAGCATGCTTACAAGATGCCTACTGTTCCACTGATTGCCGTTTCAGTTACGACTTCATGTGCTTCTTTGTTCTCGAAATCCACCGGAGTGGCAACATGGAACAGGGGCCGCATCGAAACTATGGGGATCTTTAAGATCGGCCGTCAAGATTTTGAGCTTTTCGGCCGCCCCTGGCAGATTGGTGAGGAAACTAAGGTCTCTTCTGTTTTCTGCTCTCATTTCACACCATTCTTTAGAAGAAGAAAAACAGAAGATTAGATTGAGTTTGAAGGAATATTACCTGGATCAGGTCTAACGGTGGTATGAACAAAGTAACGGTGATCCATCGATTGACAAATTAATGTTTTATATCCCGCAAACCCTAAGATGATGATTTCACGTGATTTTAGTAGTCAGTTGGCAAAAACTACACTAACGACGGTGGTTATGGTCGGAAAGAGTTTGTGACAAGGGAAGGTTAGGATTATAATTTGGGGGTTTATGGCTTTTAAATTTAAAATAAATTAGGGTTTTAATATTATAATAATATTTTTAATATTTTTAAAAAATAAATTTAAAAATTATCAAATTGTGACACATGTCACTTAACGGATAAAATTAATGTTGTTCATGGTCCAAACACCTAAAGTTGTAACGTTTGTAACGTTAGGCATCTGAATCATTAAAAAAACGTTTGTAACGTTAGACACCTGAATCATTCAAAAAAAAAGTTTAAACACCTATGCGTGAAAAGCGCTATAGTTTGGGCACTTATTCTATAATTAAGCCATTCTGAAACTACTCTATATTAAAATATATGGTAAAGTACATAAATGGTCTCCCGATTATAGAATATTATTTTGTTGAGTACTCCAACTATTTAAAGTTACAAAATAGTCATCTAACTATAAGGTACTGCTTTGTTGAGTTCTTTTACTATTAAAAGTTATAAAATGGTCACCCGACTATTCATATGTTCCAAACTCATCATTTTCAGTTAAAAATTTTATGGTCCTCTGAGTTAAACATTAACTTACTGACTATTCATGGACAGTTAACTATACCGTTTAGCCTAAATAGTCGGTTAACTGTTATAATGATTATGAGATTTTTAACCGTAACCTAACTGTTATTAATAATTCGGTTATAGGTTAATCTACGATAAACATATTACAATTATTTTGTCAAAAAAATCATAATTCATACTACAAAAAAGTTTAGCATTTAGCATATATGATGTGATTCTGCCGACCACCAAGTTCAAACAAAACACGCTCACAACTTTGAAGTTCTTCCAAGATGATTCTAAGGGAGTTCTTCCTTATTTTATTACTTATTTACTCATTTATGCTTTATATGTGTTATAAGCATGCTTTGACATTCTAAACTATGCTTGAATATTCATATATTGTCCTATGCTTGCATCCTATATGATATTCAATCATGTCACATCTTTAATTAGCTTATTTCATGCATATGTTACACATTCCTTACTTATGTTATCATATCAATTGCATTATTATATTAGCCATGGAATCATGTGTTACATTAGAATGTTACTTATTACTTATTCATTAACTTGAGCATTGTAACTTATATACATTTTGTATTTAGTGTAAGGTACATTCAAGACAATCCAATGGACAGTTCATGTCACTCATATTGATCACCATGTTTTAACAAGTTCAAGGCATCTTTGGGTCATGGTGTCTTCTTGAAATCTAATTCCCTGTCTATTATCTTTCCAATTCACTTTGAATCGCATCAATATGATATCGGGAGCTCGAGACATGCCCAAATTACTGAAGATAGTGCAGGCTGGAAATAAATACGGGATTTGAAACCATTCATCTCCTTCAAAGGACTTATGCATTGGAGGCATTAATGGAGACATGCATGGACGAGGAAAAAAATTAAAATGAATCAAAACATTTGTGAGAATGTGCAAGGATTCATTCAAAGGCTTTTAAGTTCATCCATTCATGCATATTCATGCAAGAAGCAGAATAGTCATGTTCACATTGGGGGGAGAATTTCATCTAAGATACATTTATGAACATTCATCCATAGAAGACAAATCAACAAGTTCACACAAGGAGGGATGAATTCGGCCAAAGGATGCATTGCATTAAAATATGAACATCCATTAATCAAATTCATTCACCTAAGCCATGCTTTGTATCTACTTAAAGGATGAACATTCATCCATGAATGTTCACTCGCTAAAGCTTGTATGTGCATCCCAGGAATCCTTAGGCCTATAGATAGTTTAGCTTTCATTTTGTAAAGAAACCAATTGACTTTGTTTTATCAAATATTTGTGAGAGTTTCTCTCTTTAGTTCTTAAGTGGACTTTATCGACTTATCAAGCTTATGCTTGTGGCGTCACCCATATCTATTTCACCCTAATACTTTTGGTTCCTATCTCTTTATAGATAGTGGGTCAAAGTTCCTTGTTTACCACCCCTTAAAAAAGCAATATAAAGTTTGGGTCTTTGTTCTTTAACATTGGTTCTTCTTTGAGTCTTATTTGAGATACTACCTTTCATATTCATCTCAATCACCTTCATTCTACTTCTATTACCATACTTCATCATTTCCTTTAAACATATCACCAACTTATATATATTCCGCTACCATATTTATCTTTCCATTTCATTACCTCCATTTAACCATTTTATTTTTAGCTTTCTTGTTTGTGCATGATCCTTGTTGCTTTCCTAGATTGAAACAATCAAAGGTACAACATTGATTTCACCATCCATCCAAGTGAGACTAGGTTGAATTGTATCAATATATTTAAACCGATGTAAGTGAATAAAATAATAATATGTAGCACTTAACACATATTTACACCAGTGTAAGTATGTACTATACATCTCCTAATATTTTAGTACCTAATAATAAACAAAAATTATATTGGTTTAAGTATGTTTCTATATTTTCAAAAAAATAAAAAAAATATATATTAAGTTATTTGTATACTAATTTTATTAAAAATAAATATAAATTATTAAATAATAGAAAATAATATTGAGTTATTTATGTAAAATTATAATAAATTAGAAATATAAAATTTATTTATTAACGATTAACCGTTTATCAAAATTCATAACTGTAACTTTAACCGTTAACCATAATTTTTAGGCGGTTTGATTAATCAAAACTGTTTAGTATTAACGGTTCAGTTAATTAACCTATTAAATGTAACAATTATATCGATTAACTATTACGGTTAATGGTTACATGTTTTTTTGAACACCCCTATGAAGAAAAAGGGGTAATTAGGATCCACTTATATTATGTAAAACTATTAAGTTTTACACTAATTTATAACCATTGAATTTAAATAAATAAATGATTTAAATTTGATCAAAATTTATAACCTGTACACAAATATTTCTTTAATTTACTGTAAACAACACCTTTTTTACTCCTAAAACTCCAAACCCCATACTCTAAGCCTTAAATTCTAAACTCTAAATCCTAAATTCTAAACTCTAACTCTAAAAGGAAATTTTTTTTACTGTAAGTTAAAGAAATTATTTTATTACGAGTTAAAGAAATATTTATTTATAGCTTATAAATATTAATTAAATCTAATCTATTTATTTATTTATTCAAATCTAATGAATATAAATTAAAGTAAAAACTTATTAATTTTACATAGTATAAGTAGATTCTAATATATATATATATATATATATATATATATATATATATATATAATCTTTAGGAATCTTTAGGATTTGCTTATTATTTATATTAAGTTCTGTAGGAGGTTGTCTTGTTATATTCAATGTGCAGTTGTTGGTGTGATGTCAGTTTAATGTTCAATAATTTTATATTTTGTAGATGATGTGATAATAGTTTTTATTTATATTTTATATAAATATAATAATAATTATGTTTATTAATTGAAGTGTTTAAATTTTATTAGTTAATTATATAGATATATTTTAATTCATATTGATGTGATGTTAATATGAAGAGATATTATTATAATTCTTTAGATCCTTCTTAAATATTAAGTTCAAAATTCATATTGATCATTTAAGTGACTCGAATTTCTGTAATGTCATGCAGTTTTGATGATTCGAGTCTAATTAATCGATTTAATATTTGATTTTTCGAATAATTTTTAATAGTAAATTAAATGACATTTGATATTGAGAGTATTCGATCAATCTTAATGAAAATCAATTTTTAAATATAATATCATGAATTATTTGACCTCGAATGAATATTTGGTATTTATTTCGATTATCCGTTACGATTATCCGATTAATAAAATAAGATTGAATTACCATATGAAAAAACAGCAGAAAATGCATCAATTTCAATGTTTAGAGACAATAAGAAAGATATATCACCGTCGATTTATTGAATCACATTCACACTAGGCCCTGCGATTTAACTATTAGCAGTGCTTGACACGATGTTTATGCTTACTGGAGAAAGCCTTTCTCCATGCAGCTTTTAATAGCTCCATCATACATATCCTCAACCCCATACTTAAATTTGAATCCCAAATCCAATAGTTTCTTGGATGACAAGCCAGGCAATTTAGCTCCTTCAATTCCTTCTATGGAACTGCCAAGATAAATCTAAATTAATCGAAAATCGACCACGAGAAAGATTCTTCTAAAGAAAAAAGTATATACTCACTCTGCAATTGTGAATTCTGGGTACTTTGTTGAAAGAATTTCAAATATCTTTGGAGCAGTAACCGTGTCCGAGGAACAATTGTACCTTCCTTTTGCCTCAGGATGCTCAAGCAGGAAGATAAGCGCCCTTGACAAATCATCAGTATGCACCATTGAAACGTTCATAAGAAGACTATAGTCATTCCCACTCCCTGAACAGATGTTAATCCAATAGCCATTAGTATAAACTTTATTTTTATGTTAAATCGGTTCAAGGTAAGAAGAACAACTTCAACTTATAACAAGGATCGGAGACAATGCTGTGTGCACCGAACCCTGCATCTTCGGACAGATGAAGGGACCAAAAACCATAGGTGGAATGACCGAAACCAGATCCAATTCATGTCTAGTCGCGAATTCAAGAACTGCTTTTTCTTTCAATGTCTTGGTAATGGAATAAGAACTCACAACGGACTTTACTTCCGATCGAACGTATTCGACGTCGGTCCAATAACTCTCATCCATCATCTCCACACTCTCCTTGTTGAAATACACCGCTGCGATACTGGAAGTGTAGACAACTTTCTTCACTGATTTTGATCTCGAGCATGCCTTCAAGATGCCAAGAGCTCCATTGATCGACCTTTGGGTCACTACTGCCTCGGGTTCGTTCTCTTGGAAATCCAAAGGAGAAGCAACGTGGAGAACCCCTTTGCATCCATCGATGGCTGCATCGAAACTCTCGGGATAATCAAGATCTGCTGTGAAGATCCTAAGCTTTTTATCTGCTCCTGGTAGGCTGGTGAGGAAGCAAAGGTCCCTCTTGTTACCTGCTCGCATTTTAGCATCATATTTGCTCAATGATTAACACAGGAAAATCGTATTTTTGGGATTAGCCTTAAATAAATGAATTTGATCATTACCTCTAACAGTAGTATTAACAGAGTAACCCAGTTCAAGAAGCAGCTTGATCAACCAGGAGCCTATGTAGCCGGTTCCTCCTGTCACGCACACAGTCCCTTTATCTTCTTCCATCTACCGATCTTTCCCTTATTAGTTTCGTTTGTTTTGACTTTGTGATGTGAATTTGCACCTGGAGTCTTACTATGTTTTATCCATGTTCTGGTGATTAATTCAAAGCTTGACTTCGATTGAGTTTACTATTAATATTTACTGAAGCACTCTGTCTATATGTGTATTGGTTCATTTTACTGGCTGCGCTTAGGCTATTTTGCCTTTGGTAGAGGTTGATGCGTCTGCAATGACGATTGACGCTAACATTAAATTATTATTAATTATGGGCTTAAATGCATCATTACCCGTATACCATTCTACGAGTTACCCCTAAAATATTTTTCAAAATATTTTATCCCATAAAATATAAAAAGTTATTCTTTTTACCTCAAAACGTTAATTTTATTAGGAAAAATTAGTGACCAATCAAAATATACCACATCACCATTTAATTTTAATTTGTTTTATGTGGATAAATAAAAATTAATTAAAAATAAAATTATATAATATGTCAAACATACCCTTTCTTCTCATTCTCCACTGTCCATCCTCTCAACACCAACACCTCTCTTCTTTTTCACCGCTCTATATCATAATATCTCCCTAGCTTTCTTTACTCTCTCCATCACTCTTTCTTGTTTGCCTCCTGAGGTCCAGTTGTACAACCGCCGCCCCCTTGATTTGGGTTATCCCCATGATTATCTCCTTCGGCCGAACCACTTATTTTAACTCCGTTTCCATTGTTACCACCACCAACAGGAGTGATGAACCCATGCCAAATTTATAACACAACATTAAACTGAAAAATAACTTAACAAGAAATGAGAATATAAAGTAAAGATGGAAACTTGAACCCATGTCAAAAATTTATAAAACAACATTTTGAAGACCTGATCCTACTAAAGACGCTTAGATTTCTCGGGTTGAGAGTTTATCTGTGGTACTGTAAAGGAATCATCTGTTCATCTCCTGTTAGCTTTCATATCCATGATTTATTTTGTTTCCTTTATTTATCCTTCTGTTTGTGAAGAATATTGGGGAGGATACAAGGAAGACGATGGCTAGGGAACCCAAAGCCTTAAACTTTCTGATGAAAATACATTCATATTGCTCTCCAAATCAATATCAAGGAACTACAACATACAATCATCACTCTGAATAAATCAGATCCAAAAATAAAAAATAAAAATATATGATTACAAAGGAAAATAACATGATCTGAATAATTTTTTGGACATTAATGGCGTTGGAAGGAGTGATGGAGAGATTAAAAAAAGCTGGGGAGAGATTAGGGTACAAAGATTAGGGGAGAGATTAAAGAAAGAGGGGTGTTGGTGTTGGAAGGGTGGCCGGTGGAGAAGGAGGGGTATTTCTAACATGTTATATAATTTTATTTTTTAATTAATTTGTATTTATTCACACAAAATAAATTAAAATTAAATAGTCGTGTGGTATGTTTTTATTGATTGATTATTTTTTCTAACAAAATTAATGTTTTGTGTAAATATTTTGGATAAATAAATGATATACTTTAAGAAATAATGATACATTTAATCTTTAATTATTTGATTCAGTCATTGAATTATTATATAATCATTTGGTTCATTGTTTATAATATCATCGTCATATTTTGTAATATGAATTTGTTATGTTGTCCATTTTAAACTTTAAAATGGTGCATTTAATTCATAAAATAATATTAACTTTTCATGTTTAAAGCTACAGTTTTTTAATCTATTTTAATTACCACTCTTATTGTTATGTTTTCGGAAGTCACCTATGAATATCTTTCTCTCTGCCCACCAGACCTCTAGATAGTTCCCTTCGTTTATTGGAGCATTCAAGAAATCCATATGCTCCACATCTAAAAGAATCATGGACTCGGAACCTGTAACACCCATAAACCAATGTGAATGACTCGATCTGATCTAAGGTGTCACATTAATATCATCAGAGTGACCCACAGTAAAATCCAAAAAATTTAAAATTTCTGTTAAAACGTGTAAAATCATAAAAAAAAACTATACTTAAAATATATGTTCAGAAAATCATTCATATACTACAAACAAAATTAAAATCATACACGTTTCAGACTCGGATATAAAAACAGAATACCCCCTACATGCCCCCTAAACACATGCACCATACCCCGCAAGTAACGCCGGTGGAACTCCAATACTAATGTTGTAAACTGAACTGGATCGATTCTTTTAACCTGAAATGGCGAGTAAAAGAGTGAGCTTTGGGAAGCTCAATAATATAGAACTACCAAGTGATGCTCAAGGAAAGACAAATAATAGGCAAAAAAAAATTTCCTTATTAATTCAGACATCTACATATTTTTGTGATGAGCTGAAGTCCCACTGGTAATTCAGGTAGTAAAAGCATGAAGCTTATAGTTAAGAGAAAACGTTCTGCGAACCAGGTTCAGGGGATCAAAATAGGGTGTCTAATGTGTTCCCTCAAAACCAGTGAAAAGGTACATATCTTTTTAAAACGGTATCAATTTAAAAAACATATTTTTAAAACCATAGTAAAACACTCCAACCAAACACCTTTATGTAGTTTCCCCAGAACTGCATCCATAAGGACTTACCCTAAGCACACAACAAAGGAGCCACCCTAAGGGAGTGACTTGAGGCTTGAGAGCCTACCCAAGAAAGTTTCTTAGGGCCTCGGAGTCTACCCAAGGGTCACCTTAGGTCCGGAAAGAATTACCAGCTCAATCGGTTTGAACCAACCTACCCATCCAGTACCTAGTAGAAATCAGATTGAGCAGTAACTTTAATATCAAAATAATGATACAGTAGTATATAGTAAAAATGATCATGTAGTTATTTAAATCACATAAATGCCTTCCACCTATACAACATATGTAGTCCCATGATTTACCTAAGGGAGTGCCTTGGGGCGTGAGAGCCTACCCAAGAAAGTTTCTTGGGGTCTCGGAGACTACCCAAGGGTTACTTTAGGTCCGTAAGAAATTACCAGCTCGATCAATCTGAACCTATATAAGGAATTACTAGTTTGACCGATCTGAACCTCTATGCTCTAGTATCATATCATGATAATATCCCAATAAAACAATTCAAGTAGTAACCAATAGATTCCATGATCCATAAATCAGAAACGATTATATTTTCCAGTGGAAACACGAAACCAAATAGCACATTTCAGGTAATCATAGTTCATAAGTCAGTAAATCAGTAAATTAGTAAATCATAAACTTCGGTCAAACGTATTTTCAAAACCGATAAAATAGTCATGTAGTACGTAGGGAACACACTAGAGGATCCAGTTATTTTACGAAGGTACTTGGTATTTATCAGGTAGGGAGCCATGAAACTTATGTAAACTGGTTAAATTCATAAATGAGATCCCTATAAAAGGGTTTGATAGCTGACGAATTCATTAGTTATTCGGGATATGATTTACCAGGATCATAAAGTATTTGGATATTTTTCGGAGGCACTATGTAATCAGAAAGGTATTCAGAATCCTTTGCATCAGAGTTACTTGTGATTTCATATCTGACATCCATTAGTCAGGAAATTAGGGGAAAATTTGGACATTATGCTCTTGGAGGATTCTTAGTAATTTGATCTAATAAAAGGAAAATGATGATTCATGGTATTTACGATTCACGTCGATTTATCAGGATATCGAGTTAACTCGAACTGAATAATCCCATCACGGTAATACTTATCAACCGGTCAAATCATTGCACTTCAAGGGTATTCACACTTTAATACTGACAACTCTTGTCGAACTGATCATCTTCAGAATCATCCATAAGGACTTACCCTAAGCACACACAACAAAGGAGCCACCCTAAGGGAGTGACTTGAGGCTTGAGAGCCTACCCAAGAAAGTTTCTTAGGGCCTCGGAGTCTACCCAAGGGTCACCTTAGGTCCGGAAAGAATTACCAGCTCAATCGGTTTGAACCAACCTACCCATCCAGTACCTAGTAGAAATCAGATTGAGCAGTAACTTTAATATCAAAATAATGATACAGTAGTATATAGTAAAAATGATCATGTAGTTATTTAAATCACATAAATGCCTTCCACCTATACAACATATGTAGTCCCATGATTTACCTAAGGGAGTGCCTTGGGGCGTGAGAGCCTACCCAAGAAAGTTTCTTGGGGTCTCGGAGACTACCCAAGGGTTACTTTAGGTCCGTAAGAAATTACCAGCTCGATCAATCTGAACCTATATAAGGAATTACTAGTTTGACCGATCTGAACCTCTATGCTCTAGTATCATATCCTGATAATATCCCAATAAAACAATTCAAGTAGTAACCAATAGATTCCATGATCCATAAATCAGAAACGATTATATTTTCCAGTGGAAACACGAAACCAAATAGCACATTTCAGGTAATCATAGTTCATAAGTCAGTAAATCAGTAAATTAGTAAATCATAAACTTCGGTCAAACGTATTTTCAAAACCGATAAAATAGTCATGTAGTACGTAGGGAACACACACTAGAGGATCCAGTTATTTTACGAAGGTACTTGGTATTTATCAGGTAGGGAGCCATGAAACTTATGTAAACTGGTTAAATTCATAAATGAGATCCCTATAAAAGGGTTTGATAGCTGACGAATTCATTAGTTATTCGGGATATGATTTACCAGGATCATAAAGTATTTGGATATTTTTCGGAGGCACTATGTAATCAGAAAGGTATTCAGAATCCTTTGCATCAGAGTTACTTGTGATTTCATATCTGACATCCATTAGTCAGGAAATTAGGGGAAATTTGGACATTATGCTCTTGGAGGATTCTTAGTAATTTGATCTAATAAAAGGAAAATGATGATTCATGGTATTTACGATTCACGTCGATTTATCAGGATATCGAGTTAACTCGAACTGAATAATCCCATCACGGTAATACTTATCAACCGGTCAAATCATTGCACTTCAAGGGTATTCACACTTTAATACTGACAACTCTTGTCGAACTGATCATCTTCAGAATCATCCATAAGGACTTACCCTAAGCACACAAC